TGAATTTTGTTATTTGTGGAAATTATACGGAGTATGTTGATCGAAATAGAATTAATTTTTTATGATAATTATACTGAATATACTATGTTCCGAATATATTATATATAGGAAGAGGAGAGGTAGTGAACAAACAAGCACACATTCCTCAATCTTTGATACAATTTGCCAATAGAAATACTTTAACTAGCACCTAGCCAATGGAAGTGATATATAAACTAGCTAGCTTAATTTATATTTCACTTTTAAATATATATATATATATATATATATATAATCATTATGAAGAACACAATGTGCATCTTTGTTGTGCTGCATATTACGTAATTGACTGATTCGTCTGTTTTATGATAAATCAGAATTGTATATAGAAGCACTAGCCTCTTGCTTTTATTTTTTGCTTGTCTAATTACTACCCCTAGATATATACCTAGTTAATTAAACTTTGTTTGCTAAGTTGAAGAAAACATTAAATTAATATTTTATTTGACCATGCATGCATTTTGTAGAGTGGAAAGTTTTATTGAGCACCAAGACAGTTGCACTATAAGGAGAATTAGGCCAAGATTGCAACCAATTACAGCTGCTTGTTCTTCAAGTGACACAAATTTACCAAAATTAGCCATAATGCCTTTACCAAAAAACAGTACAAATTTAGAACTTGGCCTAAAAAGTAGTAGTCATCATGAAAATACTATTGAAGAAGCACATTTGAAATTATCCATTGGATCATCATCACCAAATCATGAGGTACTTAATTTGGTTATGGCTGACAAGGCCTACGCTGAGGAAGCACGTAGGAACGCGAAGAGGGAGATGGAATACGCGGAGAGGGAATTCGAGAATGCAAAGAGAATTAGACAACAAGCACAAGCTGAAATTGAAAGAGCAAAACAATTGAAAGAGGAAGCTATTAACAGAATAAGTTCATCAATTTTGGAAATTACTTGTCATGCTTGCAAAAATAAGTTTCAAACAATTGATAATAATGTTGACTCTTCTCCACCTATGAGTTACATGTCTTCAGATGGTGAAAGAGAGCAATAATGATGAGTTGGTATATTTCTGTTCATTGTATTTTCTCAATTAATTAATGTAGTATTATGAATAAGACTCATTGACAGTTATTCAAATTTTGTTTTTGGCAATAAGGGGAATGATAATCGTATTTGTTTGAGATTGAGGAGCAGTTGTTATTTCGATAAGGGTCTTGCATTATTGGTAGATCTCATAATTGGATTATGTTATGAGCAATTTGGGGCATGAAGTGGGCCTTTGGCAATAAACATCACCAAGAAGCGTGAAAATTAGATCTCAGAAAGTCGATTTTATTTGAACTACCTTCACAAATTTAAATCTCAATTTTATAACTAAACAAAAATTTTGAGATAAAAAGTAAATAATTTCATTAAAGATGCTTTAGATATTCGATGAAATAATTGTTTGGTAGCATGATGAATAGTAGGACCAATGCCCATTATAAGCTGCTTGTGACAATGTTTGATATATATATATATATGTCAACAAAAGCGCAGAAAAGTCTCCACAAAAAATGACTACACTAGCTAATTAATCTAAGTAGAACATATAAATAAATAAAGCCCCATTCTATTTGATAGATGAAACTTGGCATATGAAAAATTCCTTTGATGATTCATTCACTCTTATTGGAGGATAAGATTGTAGAAATTAGAGAGGCAACAAGTCCAACTACAAAAAATGCATTAGGGACATACATTAGACCAAAATAGCTATGCATCTTTTCAGTCGTGCTGTCATCTACGAATTTAGCCTTTGATAATTCCACTGTTGCAGCTAGTGATGCTCCAGCTGCACTTGCCATTAGCCCAAACATGATCTACGATTAGAGACGGAGTCACAAATTTTTAGTAGTTTTGCGTATGAAAGAAAATATATTTTTCAATTACCATTCACTTGTCATTTAAAAATAGTTTTACCTGGTCAGCAATAAGTTGAACCAAGTGAAATATGTGGTGATCTATGAGTTGTTTCTTTGCTATCGTGTAATATGCTGCAAAAGGAAGTAGCAATATAGTGTAGCAAATCCCCATTATCATTATAGCAAATACGAATCTGAAAAAAAAAAACATATTATTATAAGTGATCCTCCTTTTTTTTTTTAATAAATAATATTTTTACCATGCAAATGATTTTATGGATTAGAACCAAAAATGTCTTCTAAATGAGGTATTAATTAATCAGAATTACTTATCTGACTAATTCAAATTTACCTGAATGTGTCAAAAATGGTGTAGTCAATCTGACCATTCATATAAGGAACTTTATTATTATACATCACAAGTGATGAAATCAACAAAGAAGCTAAGGTTACAACCCTAGCAATTAATACAAGTAATGGAATTTTATTTGGTGATGAAAATGAAGAAAAAGGCTTTTCATCGTAATCATATTCAATCATTTTTAAATTTTTTTTTAATCTTTTCACATGAAAAGCCTCTTCTTCATTAGCAAATGATTAAGAAAAAATTAATGGTTGTATTATTTTATAATCTTGATCCGTTTTATGTGATATGTTGAAAGAAGAGTGGTATAAATTAGAACATATGTCCTATGTACAAATTAAAGAATTTTTTTTAATAATAAAATAAATATATAAAAGTTTGAAAAAGGTACTAAATGACTTAAACATGAGCTTGGGAATTAAATTTAAAAAAAAAAATTCATTTATCGTAATTTGCTTGAACAATTTGTTTATTTAAAATTTGAATTGAATATTTAAATTTTAATTAAATTAAAAGTTTTGTCTGTTCTTATATTTTATGCTTTGTTGTATCCTGATAGAGAATCGTTTATCATCCCTCAAAGAATATAATAACGATAATCGTTGAAATTAAAGATAGTAATATTCACGTCTCAAAGCTTTAATTAAAAACGTTCATTATACCAAAAAAAGGGAACTCATATCACTAGTCAACCAAGAAATTTAGGTAAGATCAACACTACACATTCAAATAACTCACACATATACATTAATCATAATAAGTTACACCATAATAATATTCTGAATTTCTTAAACATAGAATTATTTATATAATTATTCACTCTTTTGGAGACTCAAAGATGATAGGACAGAAGAAATTCCAGAGCTCACAAATGCAGCAACAAGAAATGCATTTGGAATATACATTAATCCCAAAAAATAATCAATTTTTGAGTTATTTTCTGTATAAACAACTTTTTGTAAATCCACAGTTGCACCTAGTGCTGCCCCAGCTGCTGTTGCTATCATGCCAAATGTAATCTACATATATAAAAAAACAAAAAAAAAACACAATATTAAATAATAATTTATTACAAAATTTGTCAACATGTTACAACATCAAGTTGTAAAAATAATCTCTACAAGATATGATCAGGCCATTCTCCATACCCCACACATGAGATTATGTAATTTTATTTGGTTTATGGAATAAAAGTAAAATATTTTTGGGATAGAAAATTATTTATTTAGTACATAAAACAGAAACTCAACAAATTATATTACTAAAAAAATAAATTAAATTTGCTAACCTTGTCACCATAAAATTGAAAGTTGTGAAAGCTCTTGTGCTTTATAAGATGTTTCTTTGCAATGAGATAATATACAGCAAATGGAATATGAAATGTATTGTATATAATTCCAGCTACCATTACAGCAAACATGTACCTGTACAGGAATATACACACACAAAAAAAAAAATGTAAATGAAAAAGTCGATTTTTGGCTCAAATCTTAGATATGCTGACACGAACATTACTATTGTAAAAATAAAAAAAGAAAGAATTAGAATAAGTACCTGTATGAGTTGTAATAATCATACTCAAGTTTAGATCCATTATCCAAAGTAACTTTATTACTACTCAATACAATTATAGAAACCACAATACAAATTATAGTAATTAACCTTGCTACTAATATAATCAATGGCAATTTTGATGAAGTTGGAGGCTTTTCATTAAAATTATATTGAGGTAACTCAAACTCCATTTTAATTTCTCAAATATTTCAATGAGAGCTTATTGTAAGGTTTAATTCAATGGTGTCTATATATATATATATTAAAAAAGCAATTAATGTGGACTGTATATTGTTGGATACATACCAGTCAAAATGTAGAGAAAAGTCTACCTTATATTATTGGAATTTTGAATAGTTTCCCTACTAATTAAATATCCAATCAAATGTTTTTTTTAACTATTATAGCCAAATATTATTATAAAGAACATATACTTAATATAAATTATACAAGGTATTTGGTTTGAAATTTTTTTTGAAAAGTTTTAATTTATAGAGGATGGCTATCTCACCTTTTGATTTTCTGGATATTATTGTTTCATTTACATAGGTTATTTACGTTATATATTATAGTTAATACTTTTCTTTCATTGTTGTTTTTCTTTGAAGTCTTTTTTTGGATTCAAAATTCTATCGAAAACAATTTTTCTATCTTCTTAAAGATAAGATATAATCTATGTACATCTCAACCTCTCTAGACATCACTCGTGAGTATATAATAAATATGTTGTTGTTGTTGATATTTTATATACATATTTTTTGTTTATTTAACATAAATTAAATTATATTGGTATTTTTAAAAAATAATTTTCAAAAAGGTGTTGGTTTCGTAACGCATTTGACTAGGTCTACGACGTTAACTTCTATAATACGTTTATAGTGAAATTAATGTTTCTTTTGGATCAGGTCAACAAATATTGACAAATTCTTCAAACTTCCATTGTAAGACAAATTCTTCAACTTCCACTGTAAGACACTCTCTCCCATTCGTAGCTATTATTGTTTTACTGATGTTGAAGATTAGTCGTCACCAAATGAAATTCAAAAATGAAAAGTTAACACATAGAAAAGTCATAGAGTTTTATAATACTATATATATAGAGAGAATTTTAGTTATATATAAATAGTGATTTTTTTTTATTAAAGAGTGTTCAAATAAACGCCCCCGATCCTACTAAGCTCTATCTCTAATCATCACGAAAGAAGTGAAAGTACCATAAGATAACGTAAATTATAACACTAAAGATGGTACCAAAAATCATCAATACTAGTAATAACAAGCTAGACGTATATAGACACCTATTCATTGACGTGTTTGCTTCATATCGTGGAAATTTATGGGAAATCAAATCTCTTCATCGATGTGTACTTTATGCTAAGGATATTTTTGAAATTTCAATGTTTATGCTTTAAATGCAGTTTCTGCGGATAGTTTGGTCTCACATCAATAAAAGATTTTTCGCCAAATTAATTAGTGGGAAGAGTAAATTAATGTATATCTTTACAACTTATGTCCCACAGACTCTTCAAAGATGTCTGTTGGTGCGTGTCGAATCCTCTAAAAATAGTGTATTTTTGAACGATCCAGCATAGGTGCGATAACATTTATGGAAAGTCCGAACAACTTAGTGTACAACAACCTATACATCAAGCTTTTGTTTCCCATATACTTAGACCTAGTGACACTTTAATTTCTACCTAGATAGTCCTCTCCTTAAACCTAACTATCAAGAAAACTAAGGTATAAGTGACCAAATTTGGAGTACACAAATATACACCTTTAACTATATATAGTCTATAGTGTTGTTTACTCACACTTGATTGATCGATAAATGTGACGAACAAAGAGCAATGATGCGCGGAAACCAATGGTCCCGAACATGAGGAAGAAACCATAGCATATGCAAGCCATGTATCCGAAGAAACACGAGGTTTGCATGAAACCAGACATGCCTGATCTCGCGTAGTAGTACAAGCAATAGGTGTAGATAAATAGGCCAGTTGATCCACCACAGAGAAACGACCTGTTAGCGAGGGAAAATTTAGTCGTTAAAAGTCATGTTCCAGTCCTAGTAGCCAATAACTACCAGGAGGGGGAGAGCTCATCTTAGGATCAGTAAAAATGAACTTTCTTTGGTTGTGTTTGCAAGCTATATACTGCTTCGGACTTTTCAAAAATGTTAATGCACCAGTGTGTGATCCTCCAAAAATGTAATACTTTTGGAAGATCCAACATCACCTGTTGACAATTTTGAAGAGTCCGAGCAACAGAATAACTAATAAACCTAGCAATGAAGAGAAATGACATGTAACTGTATATAGATATTTAACTAAAGCCAAAAATATGAAACATGAACAAAAAAGAAAGAAGCTTTAATTCAAACCTCCACCACCATTTATGATCTTCCGCGGCTAGTTGGAAATAAGTCGATGCAACAGTGACAAACACGGTTACTATCAGCAGAAGAACAAAGACTATAAACAACATGCTGTAAATTGTGTAGATTTTTTGACCCCATACACTTTCAAATATGTAATAAAGCTCGACGTAGATGGCACTAAATGGTAAGAACCCTGTCATTGCCATCTGAGGGATGGTGCTACAGTACCAAGGGAGTACTGGAATTTCTCTGGGATACTTTGTGGTTCGACATGGAGCTTGGAAATTTGTTCTGCTATTTTTGCCAGCAATTCCGCCTAATACGAGCAGTGGAGATGTCACTAATGTCAACATAAGTACTATTAACATAATTGTATTGAATGGTAGAGCAGCACTAGAACTATAACTAACTGCAACAGAATTGAGAAAGCAGAACGTTAACGCGAGAGGCCCAAAGAAGAGACATCCTGTCCAGATCAGATTCTTTACCTGTTAAAGGCAGAGTACTTTCAAATGTTAGCTGATCAATCAAAAGCGAAAAGTGCAAAAAACACCAAAAGTCTGTTGGAGCTTTAAGGGCGAAGCAGAATTAGAGGGTGATCACGCTTTTGAACAAGCCTTTAACAACATTACTGTATGCCCTCTTTGTTGCATTGAAGGACAATAACCATTCATATATATGATAAGTCATTGCTCAATATATTGACCTTTTCCGATTAGAGGCAGATCCACGATTTGAAGTTTCTAATCTAAAATGTTAATGAATTTTACATCAATAATCTATGCATATTCATATGGATTTGTATACATGTTCATATGCTTAACTCATAGCCAACATACTAAGTTCCCCTTTGTCTCGAGTTCCACAACAGTAATCTCAACTGTGGATTTGAACCTTGTCGTTATGAGCAAGTAGAATCAGTTGTGATAACAAAAAGGCATGATACACTAACAAGTTTAGTGTCTAGATGACAATATCTCAGCAACTATATATGAGAATCTTACCCAATTAGTTCCTTCAAGCTGGCAATAGAAAGAGGTTGATGTGTATCCACCAACGCCAGAAGTGAGTGCATATATAACCAGCAGGGCAGTGAATAGAGCTCCTCTATTGTAAGGATAAAACACCCCGACAAGCGCCATCAGGAATATAAAAATTGTCCTGTACAAGATATACGATATACAATAATGCAAATGTTTCTTGTATTAGACTTTAATTTATCAGAACAACAGATTTCAGAGGACACTAACAATGTAAAGAGCTGAGCACCACAACCGAGTGCTGCAGCAAACAATGATTTGTGTTTCGGGAACCTAAAGACATCACCGTGTATGTACTTCCATCCTGTCTCCTCTTGATCGTTAACTGCTTCTTCATCATGTGCATACCTTTTGCATACATTGTCAATTGAAAGAGTTATTTCTCGAGAAAACCAGATATAACCGTCCTATTTCACTCTAAAGGACAAGTTTTCTTTGGAACCGATGTAACAACATAGGGAGTTTTGACTGTAGTTAGTTTTCTTTTTTGAAAAGGAGGGATAAGCCACTTACTTGACAAAATCATTCTTAAGGACTCGCATAAGAATCGTGGCAAGGAAGCCGGTTAAAAGGAGGACAGTGACACAAGAATTGATAATCGAGAACCAATGGATATGCGGTAGAGTAGTCTGCAGGAACTTATCCATCCGATTCTCAAACAGAATATCCGTTCCCTTCCATTTCGCAGTGTATGTGAACTCAGCATCGACTTCCCTATCCTCTGTCAGGTCCAAAACAGAATGTGGATCCATTCGTGCAGTGATCTCAATAACACGGTCCCTATTATAGTGGATATCGAAATGTATGTGTTTGTATAGAAAGTAGCTGTAATATTTTGTATCCTCTGTCACTTCCCTATTCTCAACTCTTCCGATAAGGCCCCATATGGGCAACTCATCGTAGTACATCTCAAAGTAATAGTCCTTATCGACTGCTCTTCGAAACTGAGCAACTTCATCCTTTGTTAACTTCTTTCGACAAAGAATTTCCGAGTCTTTATCTACCAAGAAATCGAGTGCATAAGGACCACTCATGAGTCGATCCCCATTTAAAACTTCACCTACATCTTCCTTATTTTCTTCTAATTTCACATGATCTGCATATGAACTCAAGTAACATAAGTGTTCCAACATACATCTATCAAAATTTTTTATACAGGATTTGAGCTCTTACAACAGACATACAAAATAATTTACTCAGCTATATTTATCTGATTAGGTTCCACATAAATACAATGAGGGAAAAATATTGTAGAATGAACCTGGTATGCAGAATGGCAGATCATAATATCTGTATGATTCACTGTAAAACAAGATTGTCATTAGAAAATGATAATGTTTGTTTTACATATTCAAAAAAGGCACAACACAACACAACTCGTTGTTCAACTCAGATTCACTAGTCTAGTGACAGAGCTAGAAATTTATATAAACAAATTCGAAACCCCCAATTTACATAACAATATTTGAATTTCGAACAATAAATAAAATAAAAGTATGTTATACCGATTCACATAGTATAATTTTCTTTTTTACGAGCTCTGCCACTAAAAGGATTCGAGGAAGGGTAAAAAAATGTACCTGGGATTGTGAAAAGGGCCAATTTTATTAGCAAAAAGAGGAACATGATCTCCTTGTTTATAGAAATGATCATCTAAGGCATTGTAATCTTGGATAATAAAAATACGAAAAATAATTAAAAGGATTAGCATGCAAATCGACAAAATAACATGCACTTTCTTCATCAAGGAATTTAATTAATTCTTGAGAAATACAAAGAAGATTTTTTTTTTTTTACCAAAGAAGAATGAACGTGTGCATGATAGTTTACTAGTTAGTTCTCAATGTTATCTCTTGTATCGAATATATATCCTAAAACAATTAAAAAGGTTTAAATAAGACCATCTTGATTTTATTTCTAAAAGATGGTGTCTTTCAGTATTTTTATTAAGCATAGAAGGTCTGCACTAAAAAAAACATTTTTGTTGAGAATATATTCTCCAACATGATCCCAAATATGGTAAGTTTGTTAATTACATCACAATAATAGTAACAAGTATAATCAAGTGTATATTCTTTCTTACTCCTAATGTGGTGACTTATTAGTGGTCCAATGCTTTTATTTTCTGTTAGCAGTGGCAATATTTTTGGTCTTTATGTTTTAACCGTTCATCAAATTGGGTGGAATGTGTAATTACAAAAAAGGAAAATGAATTAATTATTTTTTTTATATATATAAATGTGTCCCATCAAAAATTTTAATTAGATGAATAAAATGTCTTAAATTTGAGTCCTTAAATCAATCCTAAAAGAAGCATTTTCTTTTTTCATTCAATGGAACACTAATTTCTAGTAAGGATTGACTAAACAGAAAGTTAAAGAATTTAAAAAAAAAAACTTTGTATTCTTTGTATAAGGACAGACTGATGCACTAAAGCTCGTCTTTATAATATAACTAGGATTCAAGTGAAAGTAGTACTCTACAATGATGCTTTTTGCTTTTTGATTACAATTGAGAGACTATATATATTTCTGATACCTGCAGAGCTTTGTATTAAGAAAATATGTACATACATATCACAAATTCAGCATAATGTCAAGTTTACAACATACTGTGATGCAAAGTTTTGTGCCACTGCTACGAAATTTACTCTTTTTTTTTTTACCAACAAGTAGAGATTACCTAGCACCTTCCTTAAACAGGATATTTGGTCGAAGCCAGGCCGGCTTGCCACCAACCTCACCATCCTTAGTACGATGATCATGATCCTTCTTCAGCTTCGCATTAATGCATTTTCCTACAGATACACCAAGCTTTGCTGCTGTAAGTAGGCTAAACGCAATAGAAAGTGGTCGAATACACCAGTGAAAGTCCTCGAGGTGCTGATACTTCTTGATAATGCCAGGACATGTATCAAATGATACTTCCATCACCTCATCTGGATCAGCTAAGAAAGTATTAGGTTCATCACCAAATACCAACCTTCCTGGAAATTGAACGACAAGACAACCATTTGGAAGTATCTGTGATATTCTACCAGTAGCCCATCCTCCTCCCCATTTCTTAGGCCATTCAAACCTGGGAGTTTCAACATTTGATTTCAATTGCACGAATTGTCCCAAGAAATATGGGTCAACTTTTTCGACTTCAGAAGAATGTCCTGTCCATAATGTTTCTAAGCCTAAAATACCAACACTGATGCTTCCATCACGCTGCACCGAGTGTAAGATGCCCACAGAGAAGTGATTCTTACTTTCATTGACCAAGCGCACCCAATCCCCAGTTGCCAAACCACATGTAACCCTCTCTATGGTTGATGCATTTACCCGAAGAGGGCTCCGTAAATTGGGGACTCGTACCAGAACAAATCCATCTCGATCAGTATCTTTCTCGAGACCAACAACACTTCCTTCCAACACAGCCAAATCTTGAGAATTTCTGGAGTTGAACATTTTTCTGGAGCGAATAGTATCTCCCACTTGAAGATGATCTTTTGAAAGGAACCATGTGGTAAAGCCACAGGTTTTGCTTTTCTCAGACAGAGTTCCTCCTATGTCGCTCCCCTCTCCTTCACTATAAACAGCATTCTTTGAGCTGCCAAAGGTGCAATAAAATTGATGAGAACTTTACCGCGAAGACACACACACACACACACACACACATATATATAGAGAGAGAGAGGGGTGGGGGTGGGGAGAGAGAAAACCTTTCAAATGCTTGCAAAATGTCCACCATCAGAGGTCGATTGCGGAGATCATACTCAAAACAGCCATTGAGAACATTCTCAATAGCAGTGGGGAGGCCACCAGGAAGTTGTGGCTTTTCTTGGTTTATCACCACCAAACGGTAGATATCATAGACTGATTTACCGAACCAGGGCTGAACACCAGTCAACATCTCGATAACGCTGCATCCAAATCCCCAAGCATCAGTCTCACAAGTTATTGGGCCTCTAACCTCAGGTTCCCACTGTTCCGGAGCCATGTAATTCGGAGTCCCACGCCTTAGTGCTAAATCTGAATCAGGCGGTTGAACTCCAAGGAGAAGATACGGTATACCAAAGTCTCCGAGGAACACTTCATCATGTTCGTTCAGAAGAAAATTAGTTGGCTTAAGGTTCAGAACCAGGACATTCATTGAATGCAATTCTTGTATTACTTTACCCAATTCAATACCATATCTGTTAAGACATGAGCATTCTGTATTAACAAGTGCCAATTTCATAATGAGAACTTTTAGCTTGCTGATAATAATACTCCCTCTGTTTCAATTTGTTTCCCTTACTTTCCTTTTTTGCCCGTTCAAAAAGAATGTCCCTTTTCTCTTTTGACAACTCTTTAATTCTACTTCCAACATATGTTTAAGACTGCAAAGATTAAAGGACATTTTGGTACATTCTACATATCTTTGGTTTAAGACCACAAGATTCAAAAGTCTCTTTCACTTTCTTAAATTCCATGTCAAGTAAGAATCAAACAAGCAAACTGAAACAGAGGAAGTATATGTTTATTACCTAAGCACATCAGGTAACTGGAGCTTCCCTCTTTTCAGACGAGCCATTTTATCACCAACTGACCCCTCATAGGATCTCATAACTATACAGATCTATCCACAGAAACATTATTCAGCAAGTAAGAACAATGAGAAAATGAAAAAAGGGTCCCTTATATTTAAGGTTAGATTATGCACTAAGGGTTTTAGTCCTTCAAGTCTGCTGCCAAAGATCAACAGTTTTGGTCTCCGTCAAATATTTACCAAACTCTTGTCTGATAGATTTGAAGGGAACTACGGAAAAAAAGGAAATTAGCGGGACTCGCATTTAGAGGTACAATTTTGTAGTCTATGCTATTTATTGTTCATTTTAAGAATCTGATGCAACTTTTATAAAAGTAACTTCGGCTAAAATTTTATATTTTTAGTGTCTAGTGCAATTTCTAAAGTTACATATTTTAGGATTTGATAGGACTTTCTTAATGTTTATTGCAAAATCTTGTTTTGCACTATTTCCATCAAATATAGCGAATATAAATTGTTAAATATCTGACAGAGACTACCAGTGTTAACTTTTGGCAAATTTGAAGGACAAAAAATGTTCTGTGCATGCTTAAGGGACAATTTTAAACTTACCCTAAATAATAAAGGACCATTTTTGTCATTTTCTTCAAGAACAATAAACAAATTGTAAGGCCCCTATAGAGCTAAGCAAAATAATGCAGACAGAATTTCACCTTTCCAGATATTACAGTGATACCATGCAGCCAACAAACACCTTGGATTTGTTTAGACTTCAACTTCACCCATAAATCCTCGAACTTACTTAAGAAAGCCTTTACCTGATCCTCATTTATAGGATGTAACCTTTTTACAGCTACTTCATGATGCTCATCGTACTCAGTAGCTGATTGATGATGTGTGGCTGACCAAACATCACCAAAGTATCCACGTCCGATCCTATGTTTAAGTTTGATTGAAGCAGGATCAATGTACGGACCGGCTGGGGCAGGTGCAGCAACAACAGTTCTAAGATGATCAGGATCTCCTTCATAAAGCTCATAATCGAAAGAGGCTGCCAAAGGAGATCCTTTCATATCTTTAGCCATTTTCTCAGCTATGAAGGCAAAGAACAAAAAACAAAAAAGAGCATGAGATCAACACCCACAACTTGCATTGCATGTTACAGGAACTTCCACCAGTAAATAAAACTGAATTGTTCAATCCCTCAAGCAACATTTCTAACACAATGGAAATAATGTTTCTTTTAGGAAGAACAGTTTAACCTATGACACTCTTTTTGTGAAGAAACGGTTCTTGGGCCTAACTCAACCCCAAAAGTTAGCTCAAAGCGAGGAGGATTGGCCAAGCTTTATCCATTGAATCAACGATGTAGGACATTCTGTTCATTACCTTTTATAAGCAATAAAGTTCTAAGTTCATAAAAAATATGGGATCCTGTTGTTTTTGTAATTGACTCATCTAAATATATCAGATTGAAGGAACATCAAAAAGAATCTTGATGTGACTAGAAAGCTTTAAGCTTTTACAGATAATTTCAGCAGTAAAATAGTCAGTAGTTTCAATTTAAGACTAGATTTAGGCTCTACGGATAAAATAAAGAGATCTAGTAGTGGCATATTTCTTCCATAAACCATATATAATTTGAAAGTTCTAAGTTCAGAACGCCCATCATCTTTTGATGCCTACATAGCGTCCCTGAACAGGTTATACGGAGGAAGTCATTTTGGAGATCAGATCCCAAAACATTTCCATTCTTTCACTGGTATAATGGAAGCCATGCACATTAATCTAGTTTGTGGGTCCAGGACTGCAGACAACATTAGTTTCTCAAAACCTTTCTTATAGGTTTTTGACAAAGTAGTTGTCCATGCTTGCTAAAGTAAACTGACTAGAAGACGATGCACAGGAAAGGAGAATAAAAAGTTTATATGTAGATGCCCTCAACACATTACCCAGATACACTAGTCTAGTAACTAAGTCTCTAAACTAAATAGGATACTATTCCATGAATTAGTAAAGAGAACTCACAGTCTCTATTATGTGAGGGGTATGGTACGATAAAAGACACCCATGTGATTTGTTGTGGGGATCCTACAGTGATAAATAGAAACCCCATTAACAAATGAAGATATATCAGGAAGCAAAGATTAGTTGAGATAGAAGGAGGATAACAGTTGAACTACCAAACATGTCCCCTATGAAAATCTTACCCATCTAAAGAGCACGTAGACCTTCTCACGAGAGCTACAAAACAACCAAAAAATTAAATCACACCTAATGCTTTCCTGAAGTCTAGTTCGACCTCTTTCACTTGATAGATTTCCCCAAAGACATCCTTCTCTACCCCGCCACCAATCAAAATCCCCTAGTGAGGAGCCCAGAGGTGGTCAGTTGCCATGTCAATTACACAAACTAGTGGATGATTTCTGCCTCCCTTACTCCTTAAATGGCTACCCAATGCATTCCCTGGTGAGTCATCTATTTAATATTTGACTAGTATAGCTTAACACTTCCATATCAGTTACCATTATGTTAATTATAAAAGGCATGTAGAATTGAACTGACTCCCCTCCTCCTCCTCCACTTGAATCACGCATTCTTTCACAAGAATCAACAACAACAATATACTCAGTGTATTAGAAGTGTGGCCTGGAGAGGGTAGGATGTACGCGACCTTACCTCTACCTTTGAAGGGTGGAGAGGTTGTTTCCGATAGACCCTCGACTCAAAAGAAATTAGTTGATGCAAAGAAAAAGAGACAAAAAAGTAGAAAATGTTTAAAAACAAGTGCAGCAACAGATATTAGTACACCTTGGGGGAGAAGGGGTCTTCCACAAGAATCAACATTTAGATAATTTTTATAGATATAACACTGCCAAATCAGTAAATTATACATAAGCCTTAGCATAAATACTAACTACTGTTTGTTCAAAGCTTACCTTTTTAGTTTCAAACACAGCTAAAATACTTTTAGCAAAAATTCACAAAAAAAACTCCATTCTTTCACAAGAATCAAACCCACCCATCATATAGCACTGCCAAATCAGCAAACTATATACATAAACCTTAGCAAGTTGCCCACACTCTCCAAAAATTGTCACGCCCATGTCGGATCCTCCAAAAACGCACTACTTATCAAGAATCCAACATGCACCCGACAACATTTTCAAAGAGTCCGAGCTAACATAGAATAAATACTAACTAGTGTTTGTTTAAAGTTTCCCCCTTTATTAAATTCCAAACACAGCTAAAACACTTTCAGCAAAGATTGAAAAACAAACATCATTCTTCCACAAGAATCAACAATTAGATAATCAAGAATCAAACCCCCACCCATCACATAGCACTGCAAAATCTACTAATTAGTGTTTATTAAAGTTGACCTTTTTTTCATTTCAATCACAGACCACAGCTAAAAAAAACACTCACAGGCAAAAATTGAACAAATAAAAAACTATTCTTTCACATGAATCAACAATTGGGAAATCAAGAATCCAAATACCCAATAAAGAAAAGCTGCTATATCATCAAATTATCAAGAACCCATGTCAGAAATAGTACCAAATTACTAGGGAAAGAATAAAAATGCTTACTTGAATTGGTTAATTAAAAAAAATTAGCTTTGAGAAACGTGAACGGAGTTATCATAGAGTGCGTTAAGGAGTGGCAAACTGGATTGCAACACAGAGGAAGCAAACAAAGGCGGTGCTGTCACTATGGGGACGGATTATTTTTTTATTTAGTATGATATAATTTAATTTCTTAACAAATGTATATTTTTATTTTTAACTAAAAAATGAAAATAATCATAGTAATTAAAATAGATAGGATAAGAGATTTGGAGCTAAAGTATTATATTAAAAATGTCTCTTTTTTTTTAGAAATGTCTATGTCCTCATAAACAAAATCTAATTAATATTATTTTTTATTTTATTTTATTACTTATTATAACTATGACCCATAACTTTATTTTTATCGAAAAAATTAAATTTTACTAACTTTTGAATTATGTTATTATCACTACAACAACAAAATCAAAAACTTTATGAAAAAAAGTTTACTATCAAATTTGTACTTAAATCAATTTTTGAAGGGGAATAAGAAGAGCAAACAACACAATTACACGTTATTATATCAATCTACTTTTTATATTACATAAAAAATTAGTCGACTTTTCCCCCATCTCACCTTTTTTGTCCAATAATTTGTAATCATTACAAAAATTGAAGGAATCATAGTACACTAGGATGATGGCAATAGTTTGATGTTATTTTTAGATTCATAGTCAACCTTTCAAAATCCATTGAATTATTGTTTGTTGAAGCAAATAATGGAGTTGTTAGTAGAAACGAGGCCGTTTAGAATAGTAGAAGAATCAATTTCAGCTGAAAGTTCAGATCCTACAAATGCTGTCATATTTGTTGGAATCAGTTTGTTATTGGGAATCGGTTGTAGACATTTGTTGAGGGGTACTAGAGTACCTTACTCTGTTGCTTTGCTTGTTCTTGGTATTGGACTTGGGGCTTTAGGTTTGTCAACTTTTATTTTTTTTTCTCTCTCTCTGTTATTATAATATTAGTACTGTGCTTGTGCTTGTATAGAATGGTGCTCTTGATTGAGTTTCTTTACAAATATTAGTAAAGATTTAGTTTTTCTACACCCTTTAAGCTCACCAGTCTTACTTAACTTGAAATTTTTGAGTTTTTGAAGTTGTGGTTTTTGGAACTTGAAGTTATTTTTGGGGAAAAAATAATTGAAGTTTTATGACAAAAAATCTAAACACTGGTTGGACATAGTTTTTGGGAACTGGAAACTATTTGAAGATCAAAATCTGATCAAGTGCATGGTCAAATAGATATCTGGAGATTCAAAAATTTACTCCCAAAATCTATGGCCAAATGCTATTATGCTACCAGCTCGAGATGGAAATGACACTTATCTTATTGATCTGTCTAACATATAAAATTATGCACCTTTGCTTTAGGTGCCAACAAACCTGTGAAGTAAAAAAAACTTACATTTTAGAGTTGGTTGAACTACTAATCAGTCTCTCACATGATGTATTTGAATGCTGATATTGATATATACATAATAAATTAACCCGCAGAGTATGGAACACATCATGGGTTGGGAAGAATTGGCGATGGTATCCGTATCTGTAAGTTCAATTGTTTATCTTTCTTCATTAAGTATCCATTAAGTTCAAATCAAGTTTCCCTCTCTCCAATATCAACTAGAAACTCCGTTCACCCAGTATACCACCAGTCAGTTGCTCTGCTCTCAAATGTCTGTTCGTGGTAACCATATTTGGTATCTGCACAGGGGCAAACATTGATCCTGATCTTTTATTGGCGGTTTTCCTTCCTGCTCTTCTTTTCGAGAGTGCTTTCTCAATGGAAATTCACCAGATAAAGGTACATCATCACTAGCCTTCCTCTTTTCTATTACTCGTAGAATGCTGATACTATGGAGAGCTCCAAGTGAGGATTTTTCTCTTCCATGTATGTACATTTGTATGTTGTTATGCTCGTGCACTTTCAACGTCTACCTTCTTGCTTGCATTATTTGTTTCATTCATAGGAAGAGATTTGGTCTATGTCTTCAGATTCACTGCACACAAGTAGCATCTATTACGTGAAGATTATGGCTTCCTCACTTGTTTGATTTGAAGTGCCACGATGCTTCACACATGTAACTGGAGTCTGTTTTGGGGCTTATAGAAGCTCGTGCAAAGAAGATTTATAGGATGATTTCTTTTTTCTGGAGGTTGGCTTGTGTGAGACAGCCACTGTATAAAGTTGCTCATATGAAGCCTGCTTTTAATGGTGTGTTGATCTTCCATAGGTGCTTCCATGAGAAACCATTCTGGCTCTACCCTGATGAAACTAACCATTCTGTCTCTCCCCTGACGAAACTAAGGACAGATAACAAGATTTGATTGTGAAAGCCCCCTTTTCACCTACTTTCCAGCACAAGTAATCTGGTTTATTAGATAAATGACTGTACTTGTCCAGCTTCTCTATTGATTCCGTGATGCTGCCCGTCCGTCAATCTGTTAGAATTCTTCTAAGCTTTTCTTCCCATCAATTTCTGATCATGCATTGAGCTTCTGTATCTCCAGTATTCTGCATCAGGTGCAACAAATCTTGAAGTTCATCTCATAGGGGGGTTGTGCCTAACCATGCATCTTGTCACAAAACTGTATTTTCCTCCGTAGCCTTAGCTGGATGCTGTAACAAAAAAAAAAGAGTTCTTCCAAAAGCTCCGTTATGTAAGTCTATAAGCAAACTCCAGAAGAAGAGGTGGCTGAGTTAGAACACTAGCAGAAGGAGCTCCCAGTCACTAATTATATTATGACATTTGGCTTTACACAATTTACCTTCTGCAACAGTATCTTTCTGTTTTTACATCCTATGATTCATTGAATTTGTCAAGCTGGATTTTCCCTCTATTAGTTAACTAAACCAGTTATTTCTCCTAATGCAGAGGTGTGCAGTACAGATGCTTTTACTTGCTGGGCCTGGCGTGCTTATTTCCACCTTTTTTCTTGGAGCTGCTCTCAAGGTAAACTGAATTTGGATTTTCAAAGTGTTAGATAGCTTCTTCGACGGAGGCATCTGAAATTAGTGACAAATGTAGATTGCTTTTCCTTATAACTGGAGCTGGTCAACATCATTGTTGCTTGGTGGACTTCTAAGCGCTACTGATCCTGTGGCTGTTGTGGCCCTTCTGAAGGAGCTTGGTGCCAGCAAGAAATTGGGTACCATAATTGAAGGAGAGTCCTTGATGAATGATGGGTAATTTCCTCCTAGTAGAAATATGTTGTATGTTGCTTATGTGAAGAGGTGGGAATTTCTGTAATGTCCATAGAGGTAGGAGAGAGGATAAGTTGAATTTCAAGAACTGTATCCTATTTCCTTCCCTTTAACTTTGAAAGTTTTTCCAATAATATTTTGCATAATTATCATCGTCATAACCTCTCTTTTCCCTTCAGGACGGCAATTGTTGTCTATCAGCTACTTTTAAGGATGGTAACTGGTTGGACCTTTAACTGGGGAGCTGTCATCAAATTTCTAGTACAAGTTTCCCTTGGGGCGTATGTATATTTGCATTTTATATTGGTTATCTTCCAGTGGAAAGTTGGCTGTAAGTTCTGTTTCTGTTGTCCAGAGTTGGCTTTGGAATTGCTTTTGGAATAGCTTCTGTTTTATGGCTGGGATTCATTTTCAATGACACGGTGATTGAGATCAGCCTGACACTTGCTGTGAGCTATGTTGCTTACTTCACAGTATGTACCCTTCCAATCTTGCATGCTTAAAAAGCTTTGTCTGCATTTTATTTGTATTGGGATGGGGAACCTTATCTGCTATCTACTATTTGAATTTAATAGAAATGGATATTGGGTCTAACTCAACCCCGAAAGTTAGTACATGAGAGGAGGACTCTACAAGACCATATATGGAAATTGCATCCCATTCGTTCAATCAATGTGTGACTTAACCACATCCTCGAAAGCTGTATGACTATTAAATTCATAATCATATGTGACCATCTTTGTGAAGGAAATAGACAAGGAAAAATAAGTACATCAAAATTATCGGGAAATTAAACAAAAATAACTAAAGTGGATTCCAAGAAATGGCTTTCTCTGAAAATGTATCTGGCATGATAATTCTTGCTGCAAAGAAATTATGCATCCTTGTTTGTGAAGTTATTGAGAATTAGAAGAAAATGGGTCGAAATGGAGCAAAATGCATAGTGGGGATTCATATAGTTGGTGCCAATTAGCTTAGGATGGAAGGATAGATGTTGTTGTTGCAATATATGTTACACAACTTAACTGAACATGTAATTTAAATGCCAAATATTATATTAATAGCAGAAATAAAATAGCGGTTACAAAGTTAATTATATCAATTTTACTTAGCCAGGTGCAAGTCCAGTTTGAGTTTTTGCAATTTCTCAACTGTGCATTCTAATCATGTGGGAGAAAAAGGAAGAAAACAAAGTCTAATGACTGCTTTTACAATGAAACAGGCACAACAAGGGGCTGATGTCTCTGGTGTCTTGACTGTGATGACTTTAGGGATGTAAGTGTTAGTGTTGATCTTTTGATACTCTTTCTACAGCTAGAGAACAACTTATTTTGATATGCCATGCACTAACAGGTTCTACTCAGCTGTAGCTAAAACTGCTTTCAAGGGCGAGAGTCATCAAAGCTTGCATCACTTCTGGTAAATTTTACTAATCTTCTTACAACATTGTAATTGAACAACAGATAAAAAGACTTGCATTCTGGCAGTAGACCTTATGATACACTTATATTCTTCTCATCTTGTTTTGTGTTGAGCACTTCATTACTCCAGAAAATTTTTGTGCAATACCATTTTGAATATCTAATCTGGAATTGGGTAACATTATC